CTTGTGACTCCATGTGATTCCTTGTGGCTCCATGTGATTCCTTGTGATTCTTTGTGGCTCCTTGTGATTCCTTGTGGCTCCATGTGATTCCTTGTGATTCCTTGTGGCTCCTTGTGATTCCTTGTGGCTCCTTGTGATTCCTTGGGATTTCTTGTGGCTCCTAGTGGTTTCTTCTTCTTTTTTTTTTTTTCTTGAGTATATTTTGGATTTTTTTTGTTTTTGTTTTTGCTGTATTTTTGTTGTATTTACTAAAACGTTTTATGTTTTATTTGGCTTCTTATTACGTAGTCTGAATTCCTCAGTTCAAATCCTCTACAGCTGTGAAAGAGGGAGCTTGATCTGTTGGGATCCTTTATTATTTCCATCATCCTTTTAATAATTGCTCATTAGAGTAAATATATATAAAAAATAAAAAAAAAACACCACTTCCTACTCTGCCTCAGCTTGAAAGTCTTGGGAGTCTGTCACTGTCTAATTTGTTGATCTTTTGTGTACTATTTTCTAATATGTTAATTGAATATTTAATAAATATTAGGCTATAGCTAATACTGGATAATTTCCAAAGGAGTAGGGTTTATTTGCCCAAAATTAGCTCACATAAAAACGGCTGCAAGGCATGCAAATTAAGTGTGCACTTTACTTTATAAAACTCTTCATAAATGTCACGGACACTAACGAATTAGTGAGAAGCATGGTCTTTTAGCTGATTACTTTTTATCACTACAGGAAGAAAGATATGATCTTGGTTGTATTTTGTTAGACTGTCTTTTATAGTCATTTAATAAATCCCTAAACTTGACCCCAGTTTTATTATTTGCCACAACTGCAGTCACCATCTCAGGTGGACCCTGTCATTCAGGTGAGTTGGAACAATGTTTACAACTAATATTTAGTTGTCGTTGTATTTCAGTGGTAAAGTAAACCTTTACATACATTCGTTTGGTACCAGTTTTCCTTCCCACACACCCCACATGGGTCTGCTTAAGTAAAATTTACTTTTTAATCTACTCAAACATTCCTGTTTTGACTGTCAGTAAAAATATTTAAATCAACTTTGACTGTGATGAGTCTATTTATGCTCCTTTGTGCTCCATATACACTTGCTATGAACATACCAGCTTCATGTTTTCATGTGCACACAGTGTTCATCTTTTGAAGTTATTTGCAGACACATGTTTCTATGAATGAGCCACAACATATTTGTTGTAAATGAACTACAAGTTACAGAGCAATCTGCTGGTCTCAGTTTGCATTGCTGCACTTAAGTGGGACAAAACTGACTTAACGCTTGGTTTGCTGTGTTCGACTGAGCCAGACGTGTAGGACTTGCCTCCTATAGGGGCAGCAAAACAGGTGGCCACTCCCACGGCACACGCACACACCAACAGGTCCTCGTTATGGGTGTCATTCTGGGGTTAGATGTGAAAGACAGTGGCATAGACAAGCAGGGACGAGTGAGACAAGCAGGGGGAGGTTGAAAGAGGGAGACAGAGACATGGGAGGTTACTGTTAATTTACATGCCAGACATAATGGTCACACTATAATAAGACTTCAACTCGGACAAAATCCAAACGGTGACCAAACCAAAGACATCAAGGGAACAGGCAGGAGAGGGAGCGAGCAGGGCAGGAAAAAGACAGACAGGAGGAAACAGTCACAAGGTTCCCATTTCTCTTAACTCATCTGGTCAAACTCAAACAATGGAGACTAGTTGTGTCCAAAGTAGGGGTTCAAACACTAATATGGGTCATAAAACCACAAATGAGGTTCTAAAAATGATTTATAGACATCCAGTTAGTTAATATTAAAAAAAAAAAAATCTGATGGCAATTTTATAATACATTATAATAATACAACTCTACAAGACACTTGAAAAAACAACACTGTTAGACAAAGTGTTACACTGATAAAAATACATAAAAGTAAACATAAAAACAATAAAATCAATTAAAACGGTAAAAATGATGAACTATTAAAATTGTAAAAAATAAAACTAGAAAACAATAAAAGTCAACATCTCAAGCTGAGTTAAAAGCCAATAAGAAAAAAAAAAACGTGTTTTAAGAGAAGATTTAAAAACAGGAAGTGAGTCAGCCTGTCTGATGAGCAAAGGCAGCTCGTTGCACAGTTCAGGAGCAGCGACTGAAAACGCTCGGACACCTGGATCAGGTCAGACAGATACTGTTGGCAAGACCATGAAGACATTTAAAAACAAGTAAAAGAACATTAAACTCATTCTGGAAACAAACTGGGAGCCAATGTGGTGATTCTAAAATATTCTGCCGTTCTTTAAGAAATACAAACAGTAGCCACAAATGGTCGTTATAAATGCTTTATTATGGGTATTTTAATAGCTGTTGTTGAAAAGGTTTGTGTTCATTATTTTAAAATTAGCCTATTTTTAAAACTTGACTTGCAAGTTTACTATAATACCATCATTCTCACCATTTCTGGTTGTTTCTCTAAGACTGCTCATATTGTTCCCCTCAGCAAACTTCCCACGACCTTCGAAACAGCTCAACTCAAGGTCCAACATATGTTCTGACTCCACGACATAACTCTGGTCTGGACATTGTTTCAGACCGCAGACCCCAGTTTTTCTCCCAGGTGTGAAAAAGCTTTTTGTTTGGCATTGGATGCAGCCACCAGTCTTACTTCTGGACACCACCTTCAATCCAGTGGGCAGCCTGAACGTTGCAACCAGAAGTTTAAGTTGCCCTAATGTGCCTAATCAATAATAATCCATCCTTCTGGTCTGCATACATACCTTGGATTGACTATGACCACAACAAATCTTCTGCTACTGGTCTGTCCCTTTTGAATCTTCTTTAGGGTACCATATTTTTTGCCGTATAAGTCACACCTTTTTGCATAAATTCGCAAGTCCTGGACTTATACACCCAAACGACTAATATTTGTCCCCCCCCCCCCCCCATATTTATAACCCAATTTTTGGTTGAGATCTGACGATTTCATTCATTCTGGAATGGAAAATATTGAACACTACCATTTTCAGCCACTAGAGGGTCCTCGAGTAATATGGCAAGCCAAGTGTCTCATTAATAGGTAAAAAATGACTATTAATGAGACACGTGGCTTGCCATACAAAGCCACCTTCACCTGCTACTTCTGGAGCAAATGTCAAATCAGCTGCATTTCACAGTGCCGCCCAGGCAAAATGCAGCTGATTTGACCTTTAAAGTACATTTATTAAGGAAAAGTTCAACTGATGCACACCTTTAGTATAATGTCGAGCAAACAAATAATTATTTTTAGATGGTTATTTTGTAAAATTTCAAAGAAATGCACAGCAAGTCCTCCCTCTGCGTACTACCACAGCCGTGAATCGGCTTTTGAAATGCAGCTGATTTGAGCATTAAAGTGCATTTATTAAGAAAAAGTTAAACTGCGATACACATTTATTATAATTTCGAACAAACAAATAATTGTTTTTAAGTGTTAATCTTGTTAAACTCTTGTTAAAGTCCTCCTGTGCACGCTCCTGTGGCTGCCATTTGGCAGCCAATCAATTTTTGGCACAACATCGGCCCACATTTCCGGGTGGTCAGCGGTGACGCATAACAAATGTGACGCATAATAGATGCGACTTATACGGCGAAGCGACATATTTATGTTTTTTTCCCACTTTATTAGACATATTTGGACTGATGCGACTTATACAGGGGAAAGTACAGTACTTTCCCCTCTCTGTTCCTTAGCTAAGCATCTGAGTTGGCTGTTCCTTTAGTCCAACATCACTTACAGCGCTGTTGAAGGATCTGGAGACAAACCAAAGAGGCTCTACTCCAGACAGCCAAACAAAACAAGAGTTTTGCAGACGGTCCACCGCAGCACAATATCAAGTGGGCCAAAAGGTATGGCTTTCCACTCATGACATTCAAGGATTCAAGGTTCTTTATTTGTCGTTCACACCACATGTGGTACATGTGGTGGAACAAAATTGTGTACACAGAGTCCCAGTTACATCCAACAAAAGTATAAAATTGTAAAAGAAAAACAGTAATACATAAATACAGTAACAGTAATCCACACTGGTTTGTCGTCATTTTCTCCATCGTTTTTATGTCTACATTTCTGATTTACTTCATTTTGTATTTTGCTTTGTGTGTTACCGGTTGTTCTGTCTGTACAGCACTTTGGTTGGCCTTGTCACTGTTTTAAGTGCTCTATAAATAAAATGGTATGGTATGGTAATAAGATCTAAGATATGAACTAACAAAAACGCTAACTAAAAACACACTAAGCACTAGTAGCATAAAAACAATACGCAGCACGAACATCACCCTCAGAGACACTCCCAGAAAGCTGGCTCCTAGATTCAATAGTCCATTTCCCATCATAAAGATCATAAATTCTTCTGCCGTCAGATTACAGCTTCTAGTCTGAGAATCCATTCCTCAGATTTCAATTTTCAAAAACTTATAATGCAGCATTAGGCCTACAAATGTGAGAGATATCCATGTCCACAAATCACAAGTCTACCATTTGTCCAGTAATGATGGCCACAGCAACTAAAGATTAGATTTTTACTTTTACTGGAACCTTTAGACATTTAATTTACCCACCAGTACAAGCACACACACATGCACACAATCCACCAAGCAATATTTACTCTAATAAGCAAAGATTTTCCACCTAATAAATAATGATTGATGACTGAATCGATGAATAAACATACCTGAACTTCAACAACAAAATGTTAATCCTTTTGCTTTCACGACCATGTTGCAGAGGATACATTTCTGTTTTATAAGCTCACTTGGCATTACTGTAACTTTGTGATAGTTTGTGCTATCAAACAAATTCCATCAGTTTCTGACAGCTGAGAAAATGCACTTTACAACCAGTATAGGCTTATTATGGTAAAAGCACATCTGTTGTCACACGAAGCTCACAAATGATCCCCTCTGTATCCCTCCTACCACACAGACAGTGTGAACAGGTAAGCTCAGCCAACACTTGTCAAATGAGGGACATTTGGATGTCCCACCCCTCCTTATGTAGGACGGGGGACAAAGGTGGCAAAATATGGGGCTGTCCCACCCTCATTGGGAAGGTTGGCAAGTATGATGCTCATATAACATATGTATTTTAATGTTTTTATTAAGTTTACACAACCTATTACATTAGCACGCTAGGTGCTGAGAAGTATACGGGATGGTTTATTGTGAAGCTATTTATGCCAAACAAAGCATGAAATAAATTCAAATCTCATAATAAGTTGAAATAAATGCCAGAAGATAACAGCAGATTAGCTACTCAGCGTATTTAAAATTAGAATTTATATACGTGTAATATTTTAAAGTGATTTGTCTAGTAACACCTTGTCAGGAGCGACAGATGAAATATAACCTTCTGTCAAAATTTTGATCTAAAATAGTGTTTAAAGAAACATTAAAACAGCACATTGTTCATTAATTAAACAAATGGAGACCTTTAAGAGCAATGGGAACCCTGTGACCACAGCAAAAACAGCAACAATCCAAGTGTTTGCCTCGTGTATGTTCGTTTTGGTCAGGGCTTCGGCTTACCTCATATACTCCAGAGAAGATGGACATGAATCGACTCAGTACTGCAGCACAAATGCTGGCGATGTGGACAAATGGGCCCTGTAGGTGATGAGAGGAGGAACTGTAATGTTACCCACACAGGCTATTTTCTCTTGTAACAAAGAGTTTAAACCAGGACATGTATCAGAACAGATAAATCACAGAGTAACTGCTGGGTGTGACAGCTGCTGCTACTGTAATGGACAAAATGAATGTACTTCTTTGTGGAGGACTTAAATAATTTGCCTCAGTCTCATGAGATGACAGAGTGAGTGAAAAAAACACGACACAGGCTGATTTATTACACACAGGCTTGAATTAAAGAGCAGATAGCAATAAAGAAAATACTAAACTAAAGGATGATGTTGATCCAGGATAAATATAGGGGGATGGAGCAATATAGAAAGTAAAAAGATGAAAAAGTGGGTCATTTAACCTCTTTGCCCACTGGCATCCCGCTGCCGAGGGCAGCAGTCAGACCGATGACTTTAGCTACAAATGCTTTGAGGGTCAAATACTCCTTTAGGACTACCCCTCTCAGGATGGTTTTCAGCTCTGGAATACCAGAACCTGCCAACAAAAACAAAGGAAACAGTGGATAAAACAAATTATTCAAAAACGACTGCGATTTCAGTACAAAATAAAATGAGAAGAAAAATACTGAAAGAGACTAAAAGCAGACAAGAGGAACTGTATTTACTGTGATAATGCAGCATGAACGCTGAATGACTTTACTGGGGGGAAAAGCTTAAACTAGCAAAAGGGAAAAGGCTAGCTAAAAGCTTAAGGTTGCAAAAGGCTAGCTAATACGTACAAGTTTAAAAACAATGGGTAGAAACTAAAAGGAGCAAAATGCTAGCTAAAAGCAGCAAGACCAGTTAAAATGCTACAAGCTGCCAAAGGGTAGCTAAAAGCTAAAAGTAGTGGGGGGGGGGGGGGGGGAAGCTAGAGTAAAGCTTAAAATAGCAAAAAGGTAGTTAAAAGTAGCAAAGGGCCAGCCAAAAGCTAAAAGCAGCAATAGGCTAGCTGTGGCAGAATAGAAGCTTAAAGCTAAAATTACCAGAACTGTAGAGAAAAACTAAAAGAAGCAAAAGGCTATCTAGCTAAAAGTAGCATAAAAAAGCCAAAAGTAGAGCAAGTTTGCCAAAGCTGATTTAAAAGAAAAATGTTTTTGAAGGAATTAAAGTTTTTCGTGGATTTCCCAAAGATGGAAATGTAGTTAATTTTAAAAAGTTTTAAGGTAAAAAAAAAAGAAGTCAAATGCCATAAGCTGAACATTTTGATAATTCAGTGGCTAAAATAGCACAAAGTCTGCAGGAGTAGTTAGATTGCAACAATGCAAATGTATAAACGGCTCAACTATAACGTGAATGAAAACTCTGCATTCACATTATTACTGGTGTTCAACTAACCGATGGCTTGAGGAGAAATCAGGTGACAGAAAAGTGAAGCAAACACAACAAGGATTATGGGATATGTAACCCAGGCGAGGTACTGGAGTGGCACGTTGCCTTTAAGCTCCCCGTGGATCCATTTGTAGGCTTCAACAGAAACAAGAGGAACCAGAGAGGAAAGTGTTAATTTAACACACTGAAGCATGAGCACAAACTAAAATCATGTCAAGATTTCCAAACATAATCTTTGAGTTTGATCAGAGGAACCTTGTAAACTCTTGGCGCTGGCGTAGTCCATGCTCCAGCTGACCAGAGCCATGGTCAGCCCCAGCAGAATCAGAAAAATCCAGTCCTCCCCCATCTTCGTCACGATGTACCGCCTCACTCGAGCCAAACAATCTGACACAGGGACGTAAACGATAAAAACATCACTTAATTTAAGTATTAAAAGTTGTACTTTGTGATAAAAGCTAAAACTCATTTTAAATCAGAAACTAGAAGGGCAGCTATGTTAATGTTGATTTAATTTATATAGAACATTTAAAAACAACAACGTGGACCAAAGAGCTCCACCAACAGAAAATCTAGCAATAAAATAAATTAAAGAACAAACATTTAAAAACGCAAGTATAATAAAACAGGCTAACAAACTAAAACAAGAACATAGCACACCAAAAAGGTTCTGATGGAAATTCAAACCAAACTTGAATTAAAAGCCAGAGCAAAAAAAGTGATATTTACAGACTGTACGGACTCTGCAGAACAAATATGAATGGGCAGTGAGTTCCAGAGTCTGGGGGCTGCCACACTAAAAGCCCCTCTTCATTTTAATTTTGCCCTTGGCTGCACTAAAAGCATCCGACTGGAGGATCTCAGTGTTCTTGTAAAAGTGCAAAGATCCATTAAATAACTGGGTGCCAAGCCATTTACAACTTTAAAAGTCAGAAAAACACAATCAATATGAAAAGGAACAGGTAGCCAGGGTAAATCAAATAAAACAGGACTGATGTGGTTGTGCCTTCCTGCGCAACAGTAGTCTGGATTAACTGCAGGCGATGGAGAGACAATTGTTCCAGCAAGCTCTAGTCAAAAGTAACAACATTTCAGTTATTTATTACAAATAAAATGTATGAAGACAGTCGCTTGTTTCACAGTTACTTAAATAAAGCTGAAATACTGATAGATTTAAGCAAATAAATGCTTCTGAGGAAGATTTCCTGATTTATGTTTCCAGTAATCAAACTCAAAACACCAACTTTTTAAGCAATAATTCAAACTAGTCTAAAAAAAAAATTAAAACAATAACAACCTTCATTTAAACCTTAAAATTATGAATATAATTAATAAAAAACATGATTAAATGGAGTTGGTTTTCTTCGTGCATCAGCACATTCAGGCAGTCGTGATCCTGGTGTGCTTAAAGTTTCTACCTTAAGCCCTGGTGGTATTAAAGCGCTGTGTCGTGTTTTATGGCTGCGTCACGTGGCGTGTAAAAGCAGAACGAGCAAAGTCTCCAGAAACTAAAACTGTGAGGAGAATGTGTAGATCACTGCAGAGTTGCACAACTAAATAAAGTTGTACAAAATTTTAAAAAGTAACAAGCCGACGACCCCGTTGCTGAGGGATTTGAACAGTGAAGATCTGATATTTGAGACGAATGTTTTCTAGACTGGATTTTGACGAGGCAACCCATCTTTTGATAGCAACCTTTAAAAAAGATAAGACAAAACAGTTCTACATTTTATTGTAACCTGACTTCACTTTTTTAGATTTTTCTACCTGTATTATTGAGCATGCATCAGGATATTTTGATAGCAACCTTTCTTAAGCCCAGGTGCAGCCACACGTCGGCACGTTGCTTAGTTTTCAAGTTATTCCGTTAAAAGTTTAGCATATAGGAGCCCGGCCCCACCCGAACCAGATTACGGCCGGGCCATAATAATGTGCTTAATGTGCAGGTCGGGTCGGTGTCGGGTTCTTGATTGTGTCAGCAGACACGCACAGCTGGTGATCCAATTATATGGCAACATGACTTGCCGTACATGCACCAGCCACACGCGGCCATTTGACCGCGCGCTGACAGGCCTTGAAAGAGGTAAAAAGTTCAGTTAAGCTTCAGAAGGACTTCTGCCAGTGATCCATCAGCCCAAATGGACTTTCATTCAGCTACTTCACTCAGCGGATGTGCGCGGATGACGACCCAAACAGGTGAGATCACAAAATATTTGACACGTCAGAGCAGGGTCCGTGTCTGAATAATGCAGAATGCAGGCAGAAGCAGAGATATAATGTACTTTGACAGCCATGAAAGGACAAACACCCACTCAGCTCCGATCTTCTGCCCTCTTTACCCAGCCGTGCACGTCTGCCGACTGTTAATAAATATATAAGCAGTCAAAGCTTAATTAAAAATGTTGGGGGGGGGGGGGTTCGGTTTCAGGCCTGTAATAACTGTTAATTCGTTGGGTCGGGTGGGGTTCGGAACTAATGGTTGGGTCGGGTGGGGTTCGGAACTAATGGCTATGTGCTGGGGCCGGCTCAAATTTTTTGGGCCCGAATGCAACTCAAATACATATATGGTGGCAGCCATATTGGATTTTGAAGTGGCAACCCAATGTTTTAAAGGAGTCTCTCTTACATCTAGATAACGGTTCTGCAACCTTTTTGATCAACGAGCCATTTCTGCTCCTTCACCCATTAAATAAAAGAGTCTGGAGCCATGAAACCTGCTACAACTGTGACATTCAAATGGTGGCCCATGGGCCACTTTGAGGTAGTTGGAGGGGGCTTTTCTGACCAGTGGGGGTGACATTTTAAAACTAATAATCAATAATGAATTTCAACATATTGACGTTTTTATATTTTGGGACAAAAAAGTAACTCTATGATGTAAAGAAGAAGAAACTTCTAGTTTCTACCTTTAAATGAATATGATGACACTGAAGGGCTATGTGGCCTTTTATGTGAGGAGAAATCAAGTACCCTACTTTGAAGTAATAAAACAAAAAATAGTAGTGTCGCTCAAACATTTGCAGAAAGTCGACAAAAAATAACAGCCAAAACTAGCCAGACCCCTGGCCTAGATGTAGCCACATACCAAAGTGGAAGTCGGTACATGCTAACAACATGGATGGACGGAGGAAATTTCGAATTCCCACTTTTTGCTCCGTGACGGGGAACAAGAACTGTGTGAGTCTCATCAAAGACAAACTTTTTTGTGATGTTACATCACGCCGCTCACCTTGACATTTGGAGTAAGGCCGGGGCTTTTTGGTGGAGGAGCCGTGGCTGGGATGTGACTCCAGGATCGCAGGGTTTTGATGAAGTTGATGTCGTCGGCCGAGGCCTCTGCGGCCCGTGGCCCTGGAGTTCTCCTCTGCTTGTCTTCTCCATTGTCTCTCTGTCAGCAATCGGGCGGCCTCCCGTCGGGCCAAGTTCCCCAGCTGCTCCCTGTACTCACCGTACAGCTGCAACACAGGGACAACACTGACGATCACCAAGAAACAAACAAAAGAAGAATCTGTCAAGAAGCCCAGAGAAACAGACAAGCATGAAAGAAAAGACACTGACAGCTGAGGTTTAGGAGAACTGAATCAGGGAGTCGAGATGACAAGAAAGAGATGGGAATTTGTGCAACGTGTGTAAGGGACACACACCGACCTGAACACCTTGACAGACAGAAACAGACAAAATGGGCAGAGAGAACGGAAAAACCCCTCCCCGAGCAGAGGAAGAGGCTGGAGAAGAGCCAGAGGAGGAGGTCCACCACATCTTCCCCTTCCATCTTTACAACCACAGAAACCTACACACACACATGCACACAAACAGGCCCAGAGAACACGACACCCCACGATCAGTTTGCACAGCCCTCGTTAAAACTACAGAAGCAGTAAAAATCTGCAGATCCCGGCGCAGCTCCGAGGAGCAACCGAAACCTCCAGGATCACATGCATCCCGCCACACGAGCTCGGTCATGAGGAGAGCCGGCTGCCGCACATTTCTGTCTCATGTTCACACAGGAAAGGAGAGCTCACGCCTGCAACGATGAGGCCCTGCAGGATGCAAGCTCAGCTTCCAGCACATAATTTCCCCCTGAAGTCACAAAATAAAGGCGCAGAAATGAACTTCAACCTCGTCTGCTGTAAACATTTACAGGCTGACACATTAATGCAACTTTCAACTGCACAACCCCCCAACCTTCAGCAAACAGTCCTGCAGGACTCCCTACAACCACATGACAAAGTGACTAATATAGAAGTTTATAATTAATACATGAATGCACCACATAGCAGGTGGCCGTGCACTTACTGCTGGAGGCTTTTGAAAACCTTTAATGCATCTAAATCGTCTAGTGAGTTATTTTAAATCTCTCTAAACACTACAAACTACTTGCTTCCCTAACAGGTCATTACCCTCCTCACTTTTACCGTTTTATGGGATAGATATACTGTGAATATCTGCTTCAGAAAAGAAAACTTCATTTAAAATGTTCTAATTCTTAATGGCATTTTTGGTGAGTCGATCAAATCTTAGCAAGCTAGCAGCAAAAACTCAGACAAAAAAATACACCTTTGCATGTTTGATGTGCAGCAGGCAAGCTAATTAATTAAAATTATTAAAATGTTTTCCTAAACCGTGGTGGCATTAAGGCACTGTATCACATTTAATGAGCTCATCGTGTTGCACGTAAAATCACAATCTGCAAACCATCTCGAAATTCAAGCTGTGAGATAAATGCTTGGACTGGAAATTATATTTACTTATCATAAATATAGATAAAATCTTTAACTTTAAGTCCAAGCTGTGATGGAGTTGTTAAACAACTTGAGGCTTGAAATGACACAAAAATAATTAAATAAAACACAATAATGAGCCAATATTATTATCTTAGGGTCAGTAAAATATGTAAACAGTGTTTACATAAAGGTTATTAAAAAACAAAAGTTCTTCCTTTGGTCCCAACGCCTCACGCACTTAAACCTGAATACGTCAGGCTCTGAGTTTGTGTTGTGCATGACCCTCAGCTACTACCACATCAAATTTCAGCTCAACATCTGTAAAACAGATGGAATTATAGCTGTTTTTGCAGAAGTCTTGGCCTGACACACAAACACACACGTATGCACACATGGGAGAAAATACCACCTGCCTTCACCTTTCAGCAGTGGACAAGAATAAATCAATTAACAACAGACTAAATTAATCACTTATTTTTATTCATACAGATAATTTATCACCTTTTTGCCTTAAAGCCATCTGATAAATTAAAATGATTCTAAATAAAGTCTTTAAAAAAGAGAAAACATTTACATCCGAGTTGTTTTTTCACACCAGCAATGATTTTAAATTCCAACTAAAACCCGTAAATATGGTCAAATTCAAAAAGCAACAAAAAGGTTAGTCCACTGGAGGAACATCTGGAGACGAGAGTGGAAAAACGTACCAAAAAGAGACGATTAGGTCCCTTTAAGTGTTAATAAAATAGAAGAATAAAAACAGAAAATCTGACCAGACGGAGCCCTTGGTCTTGGTGCATGTGTACCTGTTTGTCATCAGCTGTGTTTTGCATGAGGCGACACGGTTCTGTCTCCAGTCAAACTGTGTAGACGAACACTGATACACTACACATTAACACCGGAGCACTAATCCATCAACATCATCAAACAGGCCCGGGCACCAGGCGCCCTCAGAACCAGGGACGGGAACAATGGAACCTGGGAACTGTTCACAGAGAGAGGCAAAGAAATGCTGCTGATGCATTTTACCTCCCCTTTCCACCAGTAGTCACAGTATTACCGTAGTTTAAGTGTTAAATCAAACCAATTTTACAAAAGGAAGAAAAAAAATGTCTACATTCATAAAAATATATATATATGCCAGAATCTGGTGCCCACATTACCCACAAAGAAATTTAAAGTAAATTTATAGAGAAACTGTCTATTTTAATTTTAAGCAGAAACCAGTAATTAGACCAGTGGTTCTCAACTAGTGGGCTGTGACCAGTGGCGATTTTAGCCTTTTTTACAGGGTGCTAAATTAAACTCAGCACCCCTGAAAAATAATGAAACCATCATTAAGATTTTGTAAAGAAACTCAGTTCTCAAACATTAGCTTCACCAAAAATACTGAATAAATTTGGAATAAAAATGGAATAAATGATGATACTCTTAAACACGCCAATAAAATCTTTTTTTTTTTTTTTTTTTTTTTTTTTTTGCATGAGTCAGATCCTCAACAGGATTAGTGAATTTAGGGATTAGGGATTTCGTTAAAAAAAAAACATCAGAGATAATGGTTAAACGTTGTCAGTGTAGAAAATGTAATTCAGACAGGTTTACCCTGAGCATTTATGGAATGCAGTTTATTCCATTTCCAAAACCTAAACGGAGCAGCTGAATACAATTGTGATAAACAGGAAGTACCACATGTTCGTCTCTACGGAGGTAACTGCAGGTAAATCGTCCATTCTCTGTCATAATTACATTGTATGCTTAATGGTTAAATAAAAGGGTAATGCTTAAAGGTAGTTGTGCTTTGTTTTGTGTTTTAAATGTATATATATATATATATATATATATATATATATATATATATATATATGTTGCAACTTCTGGTTGCATAAGTTTAGTCCTTGTTTGTTCTAATCAGTTAACACTAAACTGATTTTGTACAAAGCGTTTAGTAGACTGTGTAAGGTAAAACAAAGAGCTAGGTCTGTAGCGTCTTAGCTAGCGCATCTGTATTGTGCGCCGCTAGCTTAGTGCTAGCTTGTTGGGCCATGCTCTCTAAAATAGTTATTGAATCAAGTGTTTACTTACATAGGTAAATGTAGATGTTTAAAAATCTGTTAAAATACACCAGAATGCAGGAAATAACATCTACTTTATACAGATGTTTCTGACATCTGTATAATGTGTTGTTCAAGCCAAGAACCATTGTCAGCACTGGGGGCTGAGCACCCCTAAAGGTCAGATTCTAGAATCACCCCTGGTTGTGACTCAAAAGTTGGTCACTGATCTGTTTTCAGCGGGTCACGTGCTTTTACCTGAACATTTTTTTTTAAAGTTAAAATTCTGATTGTAATGTCTGCCTTGTAGTTAAAGGTTAAATAGGAGACTAATGGCGCTTTTATAAAAGCAGGTCAGCAACCAGCTCGTCTTCATGTTTCCTCTGGCGGTTCAAAAATCACCAGTGGAGCCGGCCTCGTCCCACACAGAGGTGAGCTTTCAGAAATGAAGCGAGTGTCGAGGAACCAAAAGAGGCGTGGAGCAGAACTCGGCTGCGTTGACAAGGAGCCCATCACATTCAATGTGCGACCAACGTCTCCCTCGTATTGTTTTCCCAACATGATGAACTGAATCAGTTTACTGATTCTTCTTGCACTTAGCTCATTTTTCTAACTAAATACAAAGTTTCTGTGTGTCATCATCAACCTTCCCTTGGTAATAAATCTGTTATTTAGTCCTGCAACCAGCTGATCCCACAGATCAGATGTCATCCTTCTTCACATTATTCAACCGCAGCACCGGCTTGCCTTTTCACTACGTCGCTTTGCAGCATAAAGAAGCATTGTGCTTGTCGGCTTCGACCTCCATCACCACTTGGGTCCGTTCAGAAATCACACGGAGGCGTACAGAAGGCGTCTGACATGTCGTGAAAGAGCCTTGATAAGACTATTATATATGCTTTGTGTGGATACTCAGCTAAATCTACATATTTGGAGACGTTTTGAACCTTCTCAGTAGTTTGGCTTTTTTATTTCATGTTTGTATGTGAAAATACTGTTGAGTTTGTTCCAAACAGCTAAAATCACTTCAGCAACTTGTTTTGGCTTTAGTTAAAACGCAGCTAACTGAACGTAAAAAGGAATATTTCCCTCTGGTTGTTTTGGTTTAACGAACTTGTTTTAATTTTGTTGTGATGTTCTTCTATCTCAGGTTCAAACTGAAACTGGAGAAGGGGGTGCTAGACTTGGAGGAATACACATCCTCAGTCCTGTGTTGCATTAGTAAGTGTACTGATGACATCACCACCTTCAGGAATGTAAAGAGCTATCCGAACCAAAAGCCCTGGCTGAATGCAGAGGTTCGCACCCTGATGGAAGCCAGGGACACTGCCTTCAGGTCTGGCAATTCTGGATGCTGGTATTAAAAGGGCCAAAGCAGCATATGCACAGAAGATACATGGGCACTTCTCCTCATAAGACACACAGAACATGTGGAAGGGCATTAAGTGCATAACAGATTATAAAGGCAGAGGTGCACAATGCCCTAGGGATCCATCACTGCCTGATGCTCTCAACAGATTCTATGAGGACCAAAACAAACCACCCAGTACCAGATTCACCTTATCACCGGAAGAAGAGTTCCTCAGCGTGACCTCAGCAGAAGTAAGGAGTACTTTCAGGAGGATTAATCCTCACAAGGCAACTGGCCCGGACAACTTCCTGGGGAAGGTGCTGAAAGAC